CGCGGCCTGTCGTGTGTGACGCGTTTAATTGATTAGCACGGGTTACGTGTCTGGTGTCTGCATTCAGATCGTGGACCCCTAGTAGGTTTTGCTCTATCTCAACCCTAAACTTAACTCCTCTTTATCCCGAGAATCTTACGCCATAACTACAGTAGTTTTCATCTTCTTTCCCGTGCCCCTATACAGCCCTACATAATCCTAGGAATTCCCAATTCCTTGCTGCAGGTGCTGGACATTGCAGCAACGATGACCTGGCCAGAAGCTGCTGAGGTGAGCTAGTATACAAACCAGATATTGAGGGTTTCCCAAAATTAGGGGTACCTCTTCACGGGTTTATATGGGTTATATATATAATATATATATATATATAGGGACATATAGGGTTACATATGTTACATAGGGATTTCATAGGGTTTAGGGGTTTCCCAAAATTAGGGTTACCTTTAAACTCCTTGACACTTAGCTTGGACCTTAGACCCTTAACCCTTTGGGATTCCCTTCTATTCCTATTTCAGGTACCTAAGGTCCTAAGTGCCACATAGTAAAGGGGTTTATAGGGGTTACATAGGGATATATAGGGTTACATATGTTACATAGAAATTTGAGAGCATCTAGGGGTTTCATCTATACGGGGTTCCCTGATTTTGGCAAACTGCCGCTCGGATTATGTACGGACATAAGGCGGGAGGGAGAAGAAAATGCACACTACTGCATTTATTGGGAACATCATGGGGATATGTAGGGGTTGTAGAGGGAAGTGACAGGGAAATGAGAGGGATACATGTATATATATACACATATATCTACACATAGAATATTACCAGACTGGAGAATCAAATGAAAAAGGCAATGGAAAAAAACGTGGAAAACGGGTTCAGAGAGATTAGGGACAGGGATCCCTAGTTCGGGCTGGTACTCTTTAGGGTTTAGGGTTTAGGGTTCAGGGTGTAGGGTTTAGGGTTTAGGGTTTAAGGCCCTCTGCAAAAAGGGATCCTGTTTGGGGGTCCCCATAATTAACAAGGGTAGTCTATTGGCATCTCTGTTGGGCTCCCCCTATTCATGGAACTGCCCTATCGCTACATGCTCACCAGCCATTACAAGAGGTTCTCTAGAAGAACGCCTTCAAAAGCGGACATAAGCAGACCTATAGTCCCCCTTAAGTAGATAGAATATGGGGTAACAATAGTGTTATATTGGGGTTGCATGGGGATACTGGAAAAGAAAATGGACACCACTATATGCGTTGAAGAGAATTCTGCACAAAGGGACTCAAGATTCCCAGGTGATTGACCGCTGCTCCCCACCTTCCTCCTACCACATGGAGGACCATCCATCTATGTGCCTCGGAGCTGGATGAAGTGTTTGCTTATGGACTCTGCGGAGGATGTCGGATCTGTTGGGGGGTCAAGCAGAACGAATGTCACCTTACCTGATTGTGCTATATTGTATTATATTGCATTGTGTTATACAATACTAAAGAATATATCACACTGTTGTATCATATGAAGCCCTGTTATACTGTGAGCTGTCTGCTGTCTGCAAGGCTGGAGATCGCGCACCTCATGAAAGCCCAGTACACACGGGGAAGCGAGGCGAACCCAGAAGGCGCCGGCTGTAGGGAGAACAGGTTAGGTGGACTTTTAACCCTGTAATAGTGGTATAGTAGGAATATAAGTGGACCCTAATATAATCCCTATTATCCCTTATAGTCACTATGGCTGGGTGGGGGGTCCACTTGAAGAATAGGTGATAAGGCCGCTGCCAGGCTGCGAAGCCTTTTTCTGGACCGCAAAGATTGCTCCCTTCTGGGTTCTACAATTCACTAAACCACCTGCCTTATACAACCCCCCTAAGGTTCCCAGCCCCAACAACCCCCCAAAAAACTTAGTGAATGGAGAACCTGGGGGCGGGGGTATAGCATAGAGGGGGTAGTACGGGAACGCGTGTTTTCTGGTTGTTGTGTAAGGGGTTACAATAGTACCCCCACCCCCAAACTTACCTCCCCAGATTTAGAACCCTATCAGGCCTTATTCAGCCTGATATAGTCCTCATTAGCTGCTTAAACCCTGGGGGGTACCATTATAACCCCGTATTGTGGCTCCACCAGCTTTGCGCCTTGATGTCTGCAGGTGGCGAGCTTCCTGTTCCACAACCTGCTGGAGAAAGCTTTGGCAAAGCCATTGACCAGTGCCACTGCCATGCATATAAGGAGGTTTCCCAAATGAGGGCACCTTTAATGCGGTTTATAGGGGTTCTACAGGGATATAGAAGGGAAAAAAGGAAAAAAGGAATTTCATGGGATTTAGGGGTTTTCCGAAATTAGGGTACCATTTTGTGAGATGAGGATTACGGGTATATTTGGTTGAAACGACTGTTAGCCTTTTTTTTTATTTTCTGCAACAGGAACGGGATCGGAGAATGGAGTAGCTGCCCTTGCACAGCTGAGGACATGATTGCCATGGGGAAAGGCACAGACATCTGTTTAGCACTGACGCTATGCTACCAGGCATAGTTCACTTTTTTCTTTACTTGCGCAGGCATCTCCGTAAGGCTACTTCATCAAACAAAGTGTGCACCGATTACGAGGATTGACAACACTTGTTTTTCTATGGCTGCTATTGGCGCTAGTGCTATCTTCACACGACTGATTACGGATTTCACTGATGTTTCTATGTACCATAGTACAGCTTTGAAGCTGGGAGTAGTGGTTCCTCGTAGTGGTAGTAGCAAGTAGTAGTAGACAGAGTAGTAGAAGAAGAGGTAGCAGCAGCAGGAAGAGCAGTAGCAGTAGCAGTACCAGCAGTAGTAGCGCAGGGAGGAGGAGCCGAGGATCGCATCCATGAGTCATAGACAACCGGCAGTACACACACCGAGATCACTTGAAAGGGATGTAGTCATATTACTACTGTCTACTACTACTACTACTACTAGTATGACTATTGTTGTTGTCAATATTACTGTTGTTACTGCTAGTTACTCTTACTACTTGTGTTTTACAGCCTCCGATGGAGTCGGTGCCTGATGCAAGAGGGGACAACGAATCAGCGCCAGGATCAGTCCTAGGCATCAAACAGGCAGATGCAAACGGGGTTATAAAAGGATTCGTAGTGTTTCTATTGTGGTTATGTAAGGATCATGTAGGGGTTATATAGGGTTGGTATAGGGGGTTAGAATGATAGTACGGGGCAATTCTAGTCTTGGATCATGGTGATGCTGGTTATGAAGACTGTCGATGTAGCAGGCGTCAGTTTTCAAGCATTCCCGGAAATCTTAGTGGTCCTTGCCTTCTGCACGAAGTATCGTGCAGTCCGCAACGTGTTATATCTGCCTGTCGCTCCTTTAAAAGCCTCTGCAGAATTACATGTGGCTTCGTTGGGGGACAACGCCTGTTGATTGCAAGCCCTCCCCCGAGTGCTGAGCAAGCGCGCAAAAGCGGGACTTGAGCCTAATACAGGCTTCCGTGGAATGCTGCGCTTTGTCAATGTGCACTTGTAGGGCCCATGTCTTTCCTCGTATGGAGTTTCAAGCATGGCGTTGAAAACCGCAGCGGACATTCCTGTGACATGTGCGGTGATGTGTTGAGTATTTGCTGTGCCACAACAGGGACGAGACAATAGTAAAGGCCAGCGCAAAATTGGCTTGCAGGCCTGGGATCCACGGCTTCTACTGTCTTGGTGCAGGCGCTGGGACTAGCAGCACAGGGTATGAGAGCAGAGTCGGGGTCTTGAGGTCAAACTATGTTGCTGCATGATGCTGCATGCATACATGGCATGGGAAGTGTGGCAAGACTCCAGAAGCATCCACAAGTCGCATTGGAGGGATTGAGCAGGAATTGCCCCTGCGTGACGGAGAGTGCACTGCAAACGGCCAGGTCCTGGCCTTCCGTCTGGCGGTCCTGCTGAATTTGGTAGTTTCCCAAAATAGGGGGACCCACCCTCATATATTGTAGACCTTATGATGGGGACCCCCAAAAAGTACCCCTAATTTTGGGAAACCCCCACTTGCTGATCCTCTTAGTTCAGCAACCCGACCCTTGCAAGGCGCAAAAAGCGTGAGTATTGACCGACACATGATGGCATCACCTGCAGGGTGTTTTTACCCGTCGCAGGGGCCTAAGGGGGTCGCAGGCTTCTGCCCACATGGTTCAGGAGGCTCCGCGATGCGCTTACAAAAGGGATCAAAAGTGTCTAATCAAGCGGTATCATGCCCCCTTATGCATTGCAATGTATGGTCCTGCATGCCTATACATGTTGTGTGCAGGCGAACTGCCGCACGCACTGCTTTCTCAAGCTGGAATTCCGGTGCGCAGTACTTCATTTGAGGATGCTATAGTCCACCATACAGAGTAATATTATACACTCCTTTTGGGTATAGTATTGGTAGTAACGTTGGACAAACGGGATCCCGAAGAGCAACCATGTGATCTTCTGCCATGGACCCATGTGCTCATCAGTTATTGATGTGTGATGTATCATTTGCAATATTTTGCCAATATCCTTAATCCTGAGCCCTGAGCAATGTTTAAGCGTGCAAGTGAAGCATAGTCTTTCGCTTTGCATGGCGACCGGTCGTTCGGACGGGGCGACAAGGCTTTGGTGGACAAGTCCCGCATCACTGTTTGTATTACTAGCACGAAGTACTCGCAGTTTGTCATACTAAGGTCATGCATGGTTCATGGTATCTAAAGTGGACCAAGCCATGGGTCAAATGATCGGGTGGGACCCAAGTTTTAGAGCCATAGTCAGTTGTAGTTATAGTGGCACAAGAAGACGACTTGCTTGTAGCTTGACTGAAAGGGAGTACTACGTGCGCTTGGGGTCTCGGTGAAGTTAGCTTCGAAGCATGGCAGTGTTCCACTTTGATGCATCTGTGTACTTCGTGAACCTCAGCCCCTAACACCGGCAACCCTAAACCCAGACTCCGTAGCCATTTTGGCGCAAGCCGCCAGTAGCACAGTGCTTCAGTGACGCAACTGCGTGTTAAATCCACATTTTCTAGCCATGTATCGTCCAGATGGGGGCGCTGCGAGGACTGTGAAAGTGAAGGCCATCTTCTTCCTACTACTACTTGGCGGCCATGAGGCCGTGCGTGTGGAGGAGCAAGCTTCCCAGACTGCTGCAGTCATGTCCCTTTTCGGTGAGCCACCTGACTCAGCTTCCGAATGGGCAGACAAGTATCGCGAGGCGAACAAAGTCTGCAAGTGGTCCACAACGTCTTGGAAGTGTGTTGGAGCCGATGGAGGCTGCGCATTGAGAAGCTTTCGCTTAGACCGGCCGAGGCCTTTCAACGACCAGTGCCGGCTGAGTGATGACTACCTCATGAAGCACGACCCGCAAACGAATTTCAAGATGATGGCGGGCCTCCTGAAGGCCAAGGCCGACAAGTACAAGGAGAACTGCATGGGTCGCTACCACTGGGCCAATCCCAAATGCAAGCGAAGGATGCAGATGATGACGGATGCCCTGCGGTTCATGTCGAAAGCCCGAGCCAAGAAGCAGTTCTTTTCCAGCATGTCAGAGGCAGACTGGAAGGCTCAACAGCAAGTCTATGAGGACACCTTGGAGGATCTCAAAGGTGTGCTGGGCGAGGAAGCGGGCATTGCAATGCGCCTGAAGGAGAAGATCCAGGCCTCTCCTGCGCTGATGAAGGATGGGGAGGGCGCCGTCAAGAAGATGATGAGCCTGCTGACGAAGCTCACGATGGGCACCGAGGATGAGAAGGCGGAAGCCAAAGCCGAAATTGAGAAGATGCCCGACTCCACCCCTCCACTGAGCGCAGAGGAGGAGAAGGAATGCCAGGCCAAGGCGCTCGAAACAACGGCTTCGCTTGAAGAGGAAGGCATCGACAATGACATGGACTCCGTGGAATTGATCGCCGGGGACGAGGTTGATGATGAAGATGATGGCAGTTCCGCCCTTGTCGAGCTCTCGGCAAACAGCACGTATATGACTGGAGGCCAAAGCGCGACCGTGTTTGCGCTGATCATCCTTGGCATAGTCGCCATTAGTGCCTGGCAAGCGGCGGGAGTACTCCTCGGAGTATTCATCTTCTTGACTATGGTGGGCTGTGTCGGTGTTGCCGGCTACAATGCTGCCAAAGGGGACTCGAAGGAAGAAGCCGACGCCAAAGCTGACGGAGCTGTGGTGAAGAGGTCAGGCGGGGTGATCAGCGGGGTCGGCAAGCTCATGTTCGGCTATGGCAAGTGCGTTGCAAAAGTGCTTCTGTACCCTGTCCGGGCCGTTGGTGCGTTTGTCAAGGCCATCTTCAGCAACGAAACCAGCAACCGTACGGGAGGAGCTGGATTTGCGGTTGGCTTTGGAGGTCCGCGCTAGGCTCAACTCAAGTTTCAAGCAAAAGGCTCTTCCTTTGCAGGCCCGCTGCATCTTCGATGTTACAGCTATGTAAAGAACCAATGCGGGATCAGAAATCTCTTTCGGGGGCAAAAGCAGGGACTAAACAAGCCTGAAGCTTCCAAGCGTATGTGTCCCGCAGCGTTCCCTTCAGCATGGCTTTCCATAACAGGGCTTGTTGGCAGAGCCAGCTATAAGCAGACCAGTGCTTCGTTCCCATTACTGGCATTGAGAGAAAAAGGATGCATGCCCCAGTGCTTGACAGTACGCTGCACTGCTGCCGTGCCCACTGGAATCATTCAAGGGGATTCTGCAAGTTTTCCTGGCTGCTGTGCAGTTGAGGCTGGCAATAGGTAATCTGCCGCTAGTGGATACCTTGAGACATGAGAGAGCGATGGACACCATGCATGCCTCGTGCAGATGGTACAGTTTTCTGAAGGGGACTATTATAGCGGCTATGAAGGGGGATGCTAGGAGTTTAGACTATGGTTCATATGCAAGCGGCAAAATCCCATAGTCACCGTCTGCGCAGGCCTGACTGTCTTGTATGATGGCATGCAGATGCAGGACGAACAGGAGGCCTGGGGCCTCGAGAGAGTCCATGCACCACATGAGCTATAGGCTAAACCCCTTAAATGGAGTTATATGCGGGATTATATGGGGGAAATTATAGGGCTTATTAAGGGGGATACTAGGAGTTTAGACTATAGCTCACATAAATATGAAGGGTTAGCGAATTCTGGAGGGTTGGTCTGTTCCAAGTATGATTACAGCATATTCACATCCAATGTAGCAAAGCGGGACTAGGTGAAGGAAGGCAGCTTTTGTTGGTGCTTGTGGTTTCAGATGCGCAGCAGGCGACCCACACTAGGTGGGAGACAGATCCTCGTGTTTCCAGTCATGTCCGGCCCTGCCTTGAGGATTCCACACAGTTTGATTAGGGTTTAGGGTTTAGGGTGGCTAACGGGCCAGCGGCCCGTCTCATGTCATTCACGAGTCATGCTCATTCTGTCTACCCCTAGTTAAGCCTCCCCACACCCTAATCATACATATTCCCCTCATTGACAAAGGGATTATCTATGATCAGGGAGTGGGTGGGGGGTTCATTATGAATTACTGTAGATACTAGAAATCCTGCATGGTCTTGATATACTATAGTCCCATTATTCCGAAGGTATAAGGTACTTAGGGCCATGCAGGATTTCTAGTATCCACCGTAGGGTAAGGAGATTTGTTGAGTTATCCGAATATTGCACCAACCCAAACCCCCTAAAGGATCCAACAAATGCCGGCCCTTAATAATCCCCAAGGTTCCCCAATGAAGTAATGGAGCCATTTTTTGGGGGTTCCATTTTTTTGGATCTCTAAACCCTAAATCCTAAACCCTAAACCCTATGGCAGTTTCCACAAACAGGGGACCTCAATAACGCAGTCCTTATTTTCTCGTACCCACCGAAAAAGGGACCATTCCCAAAAATCCCGGTGAATTCCTTCCTAACACCAGTTTCCATGTTGTTTTCCCCTGTGATTTCCATTTGATTCTATTTGATTCTCCATTGCTGGGGTAAAATCCTATATACACGCATAATACCCTTGTATATCCCCATGTAGACCGTGCCCTAAACCCAAAGCCCTAATCCTTAAACCCAAAACCCTAAACCCCTAAACCCTCCTTATCTGGGTAGTTCCCAAAATTAGGGCGTCATTTTGGTACCCCTAAATATTAGGTGCCGTAGCATA